GCTACAAAATTCTACTTTCAGCTTTCCTATTACTGTAATGCAAAATACTTATGCAGGGGAAAAAAATGCTTATTTCATTGTATATGTTCTAACATCTTAGGCAATAGGCAAAACCTTTCTACACAAACCAGTTTTCAATTTTGCAAAACAATGATTCACTATGAAGTTAGATACATTAACTCAAAACAAGCAAAAACAAATTTCAAGTGTCAAAGTGAACCCCGCCAAATATTTATAGTCATCTTTCTCACAATCTTGCAGACTGTTTTATTTAACTGTTCAAGTTTTCCTTATCTTGTCAACTGGTTACAGCTGAGAACGAAAAAAGATTTCCATGATTTTCATCCTCACAAAAACACTCCCTTCTTGCTGGTCAGAAAGCAAGCCTCTGTTAGACATACTTAAAATTTTTATTTTATATATTAAAACTCACCTGCTTGGGAAGCCGGAAGAGAGAATTTTTGTAAAATATATCTTTAGCCTGACTCCATGTTCCATCAATGATGATCATAACAGATGGGCTAGAAGGCATCACAGCAACTTCTTCCAAATTGGTTGCTTCAGCTCCAGGATACAAAATCAGAGTATTGGGATTTCTGCACACAGTTGCTAATTCAGGATACCTTCAATACACAGACACACAAAATGAGAACAATTATTAAAAAGTTTTCACGACAAATACATACTTCCAGATATTGCAAGTTAGTTAACTCCCACTCATCTTCTCCAAATTTTACTTCAGTTTCAAAAGAAGTCCATTGTTCAGCTACCACTTTCTCTTTCCAACACCTCAAAAGTTGTTGGTTCTCCCTCAGTTCCTAAGGCAGTGCTGTGGTTTAACCCGGCAGGCAGCTAAACACCACACAGCTATTCACTCACCCCCCACCCTTCAGCGGGATGGGGGAGAGAATTGGAAAAAAAAAAAGTAAAATTCATGGGTTGAGATAAAGACAGTTTAATAGGACAGAAAAGGAAGGGAAAATAATCATGATAGAAGAATATACAAAATAAGTGATGCACAATGCAATCCCTCACCACCTGCCAACCGAGGCCCAGCCAGTGCCTGAGCAGCGGTCACCCCTTCCCCGGCCACCCCCCCAGTTTATATACTGAACATGACGTCACATGGTATGGAATAGCCCTTTGGCCAGTTTGGGTCAGCTGTCCTGGCTGTGTCCCCTCTCAGCTTCTCGCTGGCAGGGCATGAGAAGCTAGAAAGTCCTTGACTAGTGTAAGCACTACTCAGCAACCACTAAAACATCGGTGTGTTATCAACATTATTCTCAACCTAAATCCAAAACACAGCACTGTACCAGCTACTAGGAAGGAAATGAACTCTATTCCAGACAGAGAGGAAGAAAAAAACACCCACAAAAGTAATCAATGAAAGCTTGATAAAGCAATATATCAAGAATATAACAGACTGCATAACATCAGGGAGGCAGAGAAGGAGCTAGATAGCTGGTTCCAAGCACAGTCTGCAGTGGACCCGCAGCCCATGGCCAAACAGCCAAAAACTCCCCCATCGGCACACGCAGAAGGGAGCGGGGGGGCCAATAATGCAGAAGAATGGACGGTAGCAAAGGCAAGGGCCAGCAGGAGGAAGAGACTTCCCCTGAAGCCTGAGGTGCCCGTGCAGAGCCACTTCACCACTCTACAGGCCGAAGAGGAAAGTCCTGTCACACCAGGAGAAGCGATGAGGCTGAGTAATGCAGCCCGACCTGTCCCCCGTATAACAACCAGCGCCACTAGGAAAAGGCGGCGGCTGATAGCAGTAGGCGACTCTCTTCTGAGGGGTGCGGAGGCACCCATTTGCCAACCAGATGCGCTGTCTAGAGAGGTGTGCTGCTTACCAGGTCTTGCATCAGGGATGTCACCGAGAGGCTACCAAGCCTCGTACAGCCCACTGACTATTATCCGCTGCTACTGTTTCACGTGGGCACCAGTGACACAGCCAGGAGCAGTCTGAGGACTATCAAGAAGGACTACAGAGCCCTGGGAGTGGCACTAAGGGACTCTGGAGAGCAGGTAGTTTTTTCATCAATCCTGCTGGTCAAAGGGAAGGGGTTTGAAAGGGCCAGTCGAATCTGGCGAGTCAACAAATGGTTATGGGACTGGTGCCACAGCCAGGGGTTCGGCTACTTAGATCATGGGACTCACTTTGAGAAACCTGGTCTACTGGGGGCTGATGGGGTCCGTCTGTCAGAGGAGGGGAAGAGCATCTTCAGTCATAGGCTTG